GGGGGGGGGGGGGTGTTGCAAGGCTGGTACCACTTCGCGCCGCCGGTTCACAAAAAATAAAAATAAAAATTTTGAGGGCGCGCAGGGCCCCGCAAAAACCAAAGGGCGGGTAAATTCGAGTACTTCGTTTTTGAAGTACTCGGCCCTGCGTCGCGCCGGCCCCACCCTGTTGGTCAGCCTTGTGTGTGGCCCCAACGTGTGTCCCCCTTGCCGCTTTCGTCGTCGTCTTGTCTCGTGTGTTGGAGCAGGAAGCAGCCCCCCACGTCGTCGTTCAGCCACACCCTGCAGATTCGAACAGCGGGAGGCAGCTACGAGCCGGGTTGCAGCAGCGGGAGGATCCGAAGGAAGCAGCCGAATTCAGGCGGCGCAACTCGCAACTTCATCAGCCAGTCCTTCATGACTCGGGCTGGCCTTGGCGCACAAGTACGGAGGAAGTCACATCCGACGACGGTCGCTCTTGCCGACGGTAAGACGAAACAGCTTTTAGACCGTTACATCTCGGCTGTCCCGGTGTACTTTGCACCGCACACATGTGAACCCGTCACTTTTGACGTGTTGGACACCGACTTCGATGTCATTTTGGGGATGCCTTGGCTTTCTAGCGCGGACCACACGGTCAATTTCCATCGACGCACGCTCACGATTCGTGATGCAACTGGCGCCGAGGTCCCGTGTACTATTCCTCCTCCTCGCTCTTCCATTCGGTGCCAAGTCGTGAGTGCCAAATCTTTTCGACACACATGCCGTTCCGAGCATGTCGAAGAGATCGGCATCGCTTTTCTTCGAACCATCCCGACGACCGATTCATCGTCCACGGATGTGTCTTCCGACCCCCGTGTGACCCGGTTGTTAGACAAATTCTTGGATGTTTTTGAGACACCCTCCGGTATAGTGCCGGACCGGCCGATCTCTCACGAGATCATACTTGAGGCCAGCGCCGTGCCACCAAAGGGATGCATTTATCGCATGTTTGAGGAGGACCTCACAGTTCTCCGTGCGCAACTCGATGATCTACTTGACAAGGGTTGGATCCGCCCTAGCAGCTCACCTTACGGTGCGCCCGTTCTCTTCGTTCGGAAGAAGAACAAGGACCTTCGACTTTGCATTGACTACCGACGCCTCAACGCGCAAACCATCAAGAACGCGGGGCCTCTACCTCGCATTGACGATTTGCTTGAGCGGTTGGGCGGCGCCAAGTACTTTTCCAAGTTGGACCTCAAGTCGGGCTACCATCAGATTTCCATCCGCCTGCAAGATCGGTACAACACCGCGTTTAAGACGCGATATGGGCATTTTGAGTGGGTAGTTATGCCTTTTGGCCTCACCAATGCCCCGGCCACCTTTCAGGCGGCCATAACCACCGAGTTTTGCGCTATGTTGGACCGCTTCGTCTTGGTCTACTTAGACGACATCCTCGTCTATAGCCGAACTCTAGAGGAGCATCTCGAGCACCTTCGCCATGTTCTAGAGACTCTTCGGTCAGCCCGGTACAAAGCTAACCGCGACAAATGCAAGTTTGTCCGGCAAAAGCTTGAATACTTGGGTCATTTTGTCTCTCCGGAAGGCATTCGTCCGTTGGCGAACAAGATTCAAGCCATCCAGGAGTGGCCCGAGCCAAAGAATGTGACGGACGTCCGATCCTTCCTCGRCTTGGCCGGTTATTATCAGCGTTTCATCAAGAGTTACTCGAAGATCGCGACCAACCTAAGCAAGTTACAAAGCGAGGAGCGGTCTTTTGACTTCAACGACGATGCACGCCATTCTTTTGAAACACTCAAAGCGGCACTCTTATCCGTCGAGGTATTACATATTTACGACCCGCTTCTAGCTACGAGCGTCACTACCGATGCGTCAGGCTATGGCATTGGGGCCGTCCTTGAGCAGCACGATGGCACGGACTGGCACCCGGTCGAGTACTTCAGCAAGAAAGTACCTACCGTGCATTCGATCGACGATGCATGAAAGAAGGAGGAGCTTCTTGCCTTCATCCACGCCCTCAAGCGTTGGCGACATTTCCTCCTTGGTCGGAAAGCATTCCGATGGGTAATGGATAACAAACCGTTGGTACTCTACAAGTCCCAAGACACGATTAACAGTACCATTGCCCGATGGATGGCTTTCATCGACCAGTTTGACTTTTTCTCCGATCACATTCCCGGGAAGTCAAACCGTTTTGCGRACGCCCTCTCAYGGCGACCGGATCTTTGCACCGCAGTCTACTCTACCTTCGAGATCGACGACGACTTGCGAGAGAGCTTCATCCGCGGCTATCAAGCCGACCCCCACTTTCGCGACAAGTACGCGAATTGCTCCTCTCCAAATCCGGTGCCTTCGCATTATTGGATCCAAGAGGGCTACTTACTTGTGCRTTCACGGGGTAAGGATCTYCTTTGTGTGCCRARTGATTCACACTTGCGCACACGGCTTCTTGGCGAGTTTCACGATGCGCCCGCCTCCGGACATTTTGGTGTCAACCGTACACTTGGCCGACTTCGCCAGCCGTTCTATTGGCCCGACCTTCTCAAGGACGCCACCCGCTATTGTGAGTCGTGCGAAGTCTGTCGGCGTTGCAAGTCACGCAACCATCGTCCGTTTGGCGAGCTACACCCACTACCAATTCCCCTTGGGCGACGGGAAGCGATTGCTATGGATATCACCGGCCCCTTCCCGAAGCACAAGACTGGCGTTGATGGGATCCTCACGGTCGTCGACCGCCTCACCAAGTACGCCATGTTTTTGCCTTGCCGCTATCACGCAAAGGCACCGGAGTTAGCCGAGGTCTTATACACCGGTTGGATTCGCTCCAAGGGCTACCCCAAGGAGATCGTTTGCGACCGGGACACTCGCTTTCTCTCCGATTTTTGGGTCGCCCTCGTCAAGCGATGGGGCTCATCTTTGAAGCCGAGTTCGGCTCGCCACCCGCAAACCGATGGTCAAACGCAAAGGGCGCATCAGACCGCTCAAGTCCTTCTACGAACTCTCATCCGTCCCGACCAGGTTGATTGGGTTGAGCGCTTGCCAGACGTGGAGTTGACTGACAACTCATCGATCCATCCGACTATCAGGATGTCGCCATTCGAGTTTGAGCATGCTTCACCCATCTCATCGCCGCTGGACACCACTTTGCCGCGCACAGCCGAGAGCGACGACCATCTTGCGTTCCTTCGTCGCATGCAAGAGCTTCTTGTCAAGGCACGGGATCAGATGTCGAAAACGCAAATACGGATGAGCCGTCAAGCCAACCGCAACTGCCTTCCTTGCCCGTTCCGCGCCGACGATCTGGTTTGGGTCTCCGCCGCGGAGTTCAGCCTTGAGCAAGACATCTCTCGCAAGCTCCTTCCCAAGTGGATGGGGCCTTGGCGCATTCTCTCTGCAGTTGGTGATGATCCCGAGGGGCCTTCATTCCGCATTGCGGTGCCACCTCACTTGCCCGTCCACACGGTATTTCACTGTTCCAAACTCGCTCCTTTCGTCTCAGCGGAGTCCGACGAGTTTCCCGGTCGACGTACGCAAGATCCTCCTTCCATGGACGGATTTCAGGAGGCCGGCTACATCATCACCGACCGGCGCC